GGCGGGTCAGGCAGGTGCAAATAAACAGAGGCTTCACCTGAAGGTCACGGCAGCTATTATTATGCACGCCATTAGGGGTTCCATAACCTTCCATGGGGGGGTCCCAATATAGACCCAATCCTTACTATAGGAACCCTAAAAAAAGGCATCCCTATGCACGAAAGTCCCGATAAGTCCCAAAACTGTGTAGCCTGCACTGAAGCAAGAGGAGGTTCCCTTTTTTGCCGAAAGTATTCTTGGAGCGTTCTCGCAGCCGCCTCTTCCTGGGCGAAGTTGAATGTGCTGCATCAGGAATTACAGATCACGGGGTCCCCTCCTACCCCGCGCTAGACTCATCCCCCCCGTCACGTTCAACCTTAGTTAACCTGGCGGAATGGTTTTAGGGCTTTGAAATTGTGACGTCAAGCCCAATGCAGGCATCATGCATGCTTAAATCCGCCCCCAATGGAATTATATGAGGGTCTGCAAAAACAGGGGGCTCACATATAGACCCCAAACAACGATAATGAACATTGAAGGCAAGCCCAGCAAGAGACCCTTCTGCAAACCCTACTGGAAAACTAGAGTCCCCACTTAATTTTGGATTCTCTGTCCGTTTCATTCTCCATCATCTGGGGAAACAACCCGTGAACCCTTACCCCTAAACCCCTAAACTCTACACCCCTAAACCCTAGACCCCAAATCCCTAAACCCCAGACCCTAGACCCCTAAACCCTAAACCCGACACCATCCCATATGAGGCATTGTCTAAACTCTTAGTATCCCCATGAATCACCCCTTTTTGGAGTTTAGACCCTAAAGCCTAAACCCTATAAACTTATACTATATAATCTCCTATATAATCCGCCTTTAAGGAGTTTAGACTATAGCTCACATGAGCCACTGTCAAACTCCTAGTATCCCCCTTCATAACCCCTATAGTAGTCCCCTATATAATCCCCTATATAACCCCCCTTTAAGGAGTTTAGACTATAGCTCACATGCTGCCAGTGTCCAAGACAGTGGTCCGAGATGACCCTGTCGGCACCACCTCGCCGTGCTGCTCCTGTGGCAAGCTGGGTTTAGGGTTTGGGGGGTCGAGGGTTAGGGTTTGCGGTTCAGGGTTTGGGGGTTTAGGGTTTGGGGTTTGGGGTTTGGGGTTTAGGGTTTGGGGTTTAGGGTTCCAATCCTCATGGGTTTAGGGTTTAAGGCGTAAGGTAGTTTCTCTACAAAGGGGATGTCCCAATAGACCCCGGAGACCTCCCAAAATTACCCGCGCAACTTTGGGAAACCCCAATCTAGAATTCGTGGATTGCTCTTCTTCTAACTTCGCAGTTGTCAAACTATACAATAGAAGTCCTGGAGAAAAGCCCGGTCATAGACATTCAACCAAAGCCATGAAACTTGCGTAGCCTTCACCCGCCGGTATCCTTCCTTTTCCTTTCCCTGCTAAACCCTAAACCCGAAACCCTAAACCCTAACTCCTAAACCCGAAACCCTTAAACCCAAAACCCTAAACCCTAACCCCTAAAACACTAACCCCTAAAACCCTAAAACCTTAAAACCCCCAAACCCCTTCCCTGTCTCTGCCTCCTCGCCGTCAAAGGCTGCCAAGAAGGCGTCCAGAGAAGGAACTTCCCCATCTTCTGCCAGACAGGCCTGAGATTTGAGGGCGGCTACCTAGGGATTAGGGAGTATAGGGTTTACAGTCTAGGGAGTATAGGGTTTAGAGTTTAGGGAGTGTAGGGTTTAGAGTCTAGGGAGTGTAGGGTTTAGAGTTTAGGGGGTATATGGTTTAGAGTTTAGGGAGTATAGGGTTTAGGGTTTTAGAGACAGGAGAAGGCCACATGTGATGTAGAGGGCAACATGATAGGATGCAGGATGAACCTTTGCTAGCTTCAGAATTGTCTGGGTCAATTGGTGGACATTGAATATCTATCGCCTTTTGTAACTTGAGTTTTCTTTGCCATCAGTAGTGGAAAAGCAACTGGAAACTTCAATTGAGCTGGGAAGGGAGCTTGGAACTGTTTCATGGACATGGTAGCTTCCATCTTCTGTGCAGTATTACCTATCCGAACCCTATCCACTCCCATGTACTCTTACCAAACCCATATGTAACCCTGATTAAATCCTGTATAACCCTGATGACTTGGTTTGACGAATCAAGTCTGACAAGCGGCATTCTTTGAGACCAGCAGTTCGCGTTGGAGCCTTCGCGACAAAACTCAAGGACTAAGGGTTTCCAATCCCAACAACTCCTTGGACCCTCTGTGGAGCCTCCTAGAGTATAATCAGGAATATGATATATGGGGGAGGGGTGGTTTTAGGGTTTGGGGTATAGTAT